TTGTCTTTACTTCTCCGTTCCAGACGAATCCCTGTCTCTCCATGTTCCTCCAATCTCTTACTTATATCTGACAGCGTTTGAAAAAGATGAAGACTGTCATTGGAGAGTTTATCTATTCTTTCTTTCAACTTAGCTAATTGTTGATCATTTTTGTCAAATTTGGCCTGTATGCTAGAATTCAAAGATCCCATACTCTCATTTATATTAATCAAGTTCTCTCTTAATAATGTGGAATTTTTCTTTATTTCCTCCATAGTAGCCGTGTTTCTTAAAGTATAATTCATCGACGTGGCATTTTGTTCCAATAGTTTTGAGACGGTTAAATTTATCTTTTCCATATCGGAGTTTTTCCATTCACAAGATACTTTTACTTCTTTATCGTCTTCTTCCTGTTCACGAGTATCACTTGGATCAGATTGTTCGGTTGGCCAATTTAAAAACGAAAGCCACCCTGTCTCAACAAGAGGTACTAGAAGAAGCACTAACAGTAGAACTAATATGCCCCGTAATAAAACTGAAGTTGGTAGGTTTTCTGTTCTCTTCAGCATCCTGCTCTGCATCATCTTTATTGAAATATGCCAAAATGGACTAAAATTGGAAAGGTCCTTAGCATCACCTACGAAATAAGAAAGAAACGATGGTTTTCCTGAATAAATGTTGTTGGTGTCAAGTTAACACTAAAATACACCTGCAAATTATCATGATAACTATTAATTGTATTTGAATAATATTGCTGAACGGGAAGCCTATTATCAATTATTATACTTCCTGTCAGTTTGTCTCTATATAACCTCTATATACCCTACTATTCTCGCATAGTGTTCTAAGGATTTTTATTATATACCTAATGTGTATCACCCAATTTTACTGTTGAATTTACGCTATCACGTGACGTTGTTTTCTGAATCTTTATCACCACTCTCTGAAACTGATGACTTAGTACGCAGAAATATGACGTTATTTTTCTTGCGCGTTAAAAAGTCCCTTGTTATTATGCTTTGTTTTATGGATAATTGTTATGCAATTGATCTCTAAAGTTTTCTTTTGCTATATTTTGCTAGTTATGAGGGAGTATATAATAAATTTATCATTATAACAGTAACTTGATCCGAAGTGCCGTATCACGTCTCGTTGACAGGCGCGGATCATCAGATAAAAATCGACGCTTCGCGTCTCGTTAGATCTGATGATCCGCGCCTGTCAACTCGACGTGATACGACCCTTCAGATCAAGTTACTGTTATAATAATATATATATGTAGCGTAAGCATACTATGCCGAAATAGTGCACGGCTTCCATTTTTGAGGAAAATCCGACAACGCCCATTTCGGGGAGCGAACTCACGACCCCGCGATTGTCAGTCCGACGCGCTACCAATTACGCCACAGATGCTGTTATCTATAGTATTGTACTATAATATATATAAACTTAGTTACAAATATTTTACAAAAATTAAAAATAAACAAAATAATTCTTCTAAAATAGTTTCTTGCAACCCCCCTTCCTTCACTCAAATAATATTCTCTAAAACTTTCTGTATATTATACCTAAAGCATTGAACGTTCAAAATTAAAGAAATAGAGTATGACGTACATGTTGCATAAGGTGACGTCATAATAGAGTAGACGAATGTTACAGGTGATGAAACATTGGGAATGAAGATGATATTGCCGTTTTTATACAGTAACAACAGTCAGCATAATAATAACAATAGTGTTGTGTTTTGCGTGCACTATGCCTAAATAGTAGTCAGGGTTTGACACATAGTGCACTCGCCTCCGGCTCGTGCACCATATGTCAAACCCTGACTACTATTTAAGAAATAAACAACGTTATCTAGTGAACATGGCGTTATGAATAGCAATTGCTCTGCTGGCATATTCCATGATGCGCGCTAGCGCATCATGGAAAATATGCCAGCAGAGCTATTGCTATTCATTACGCTATGTTCACTAAATAATCGTTGTTTATTACTTATATTTGCATTCTTTGATGTTTTCAAGAATATCAGAGGAAATCCTGACTTACATAAGGACGCAGCTTCTTCTGTCTTCAGTAAAGAACACCATACGGCTTTAAAATCAGTACACCTGATCAATACTCCTTTTCTCTAATAAATCACAATTTATAAAGTATTTCCCTCTCAAACACAGTTATCTGGATACAAGCAGCGCCGTCATAACATTCTTTTAATTTTTGTTTTGATGCAGCTGTGACGTCATCGATCAACGTTATTGAAATCATCTGACAAAAATAAGTAATTTAACACTATGATAAAAATGAGAACGCGTTTATAATGACTATTACTCCAGTATGCTTTTCTGTGATTTTTTGTTTTTTGTTTTTTTTTTTGGTATTTTTTCTTTTTTTTTTTTTCTTGAAAAAGATATAGATCTAGATCTCTTTCTGAATGTTATTACTCAAGTGTGAAGAGTTATCGTTCTTTGTACAAGTATGCATGATACGAAAAAATAAAAATATGGCGTTCTATTCAATTTTTAAAAAGTTTTATATTACAATTAAATACATTTACAAAATTAAACTTTTAAAGATATAAAACAGCAATTTTAAATTGTTCTGAATTCCTTTTTTTCCCAAAAATATTATTAAAAACTTATTTTTGGTGCTTTTACGAAACACTTCATATATATATACTTCTCAACACGTTACACAACTGTAGTAGAACCTGTTCTACACGAGTGAGCTAGAGCAATTGCACTCATAGCAGAAAGCAATTGCGTCTATAGTCCTATGAACGCAGTTGCTGGCTGCATGTTCATAGTGGGAGAGAGCAGTGGATATGCAAATATTTAGGCATAGTGCACGCAAAACACAACACTATTATATAAATATCATCTACATGTATATAAGACTATATTTAATCTCAAGTATCGAAATAAAAACTATTTTGCCCTTATTGAAAAGGATATTATAAGGCATCTTCAGGGACATTTTTTCTCATGTTTTATGACCAAATATTCAATTTGAAGACTGAAAATTAAAAGGAAGAAATTATTTTTACAACATTATATCAACAGGTAGTTCTGACTGGTCGGATAAATTGATAATATAAATATTAGGAGCTTTTACAAAACTCTCCACCTTTTTAACCTTGTGAAATCCATATATATTGTATCACTCAAGCTTTCGCTTTTCCAGATTTCAGCAGAGCAGACTTATGCCAGGACTTTTCGTTCGATAATAAATAAAAAGAGTAGGAGAAATGACAATCAGAAAGGACTTCAAACGATAGTTTAAATACTTTAATGTGAATTTTCAAAGGTCTAACTGAATTATCTTATCCGTCCACCTCCCATCATGAGACAAAAATCATTTTCCCAAGTATATTGCAAATTCATTGAAATTTTTACGCAGTCACGGAAGCTTCGTCGGTAATGCGCTCGCTCCATGCGATTTTGAATTTCAGTGACGACTGACCGATGTCGGAAAAAAGGGGTAGCAAATGTTCCTTTGCCAGGCACTTGGTCCGTGGAAGTCAAACTTGTGAGTCCTTGGGATGAGACCTTAAAACCGAGGCTGCTTGACACAGTAGACTTTGGTACAAAAAGGATTTCTTACTGCTCAGTGGTCTTAAATGCCAAATTAATGAATGTATTAATGTCTATCTCTATTTGAATTGAAAATTCTAGAATCGGGCGTAAAGCAAAATACACTCAATCAATCAAAGCTTTTCTTATTTCAAAGGGTGGACATATGTTTACAAGGACAGAGAAAATGCAGAAAATATATAAATACTAAAAAAAAGAATCTTTATGGAACAACTATTCCATTGTTCTGTTAAAATCGTTAACATTAAATGTCATTTTTTCGAATTCTGATGTTTGGTTTAAAATATTGTGACGCTTTAAAAACGCATGGACACAGTTTCAGCAATTTTTTTAGGGGGGGGGGGTATAAATATTTGAATGAGATTTTTCTTCTTATTATAAAAAAATAATTTCAGTTGTCGATATTCAAGACATATTAAAGGCTCCACACAACTGTGTTATGTAAACAAGGCCCCTGCCATATTTTTGTATATAAAGGTTGAATATACTAATATCTGTTCGAGCAAAGCAGATTTTATAAATAAAGAAATTAATTCTTAATACTATTAGACAATTTCTAGAGATTTGCAGAAACTCGTTTTGCTATAAATATATGATTTAATTTAAGTTGCAACACGTCATTTAAGTGGTTAAAAGATTTTATCCATTTTGTATAACATTACTTGTGACAATGAGTTACTTCAACAACATATTACTGCGCTTGCCGTTACTTTTAAGATATGCTATATTTGATGTCCTTTTTCGGAGGAAAAGTTATGTCATTGTCTACACTGAGATTTAATTATAAGGAATTAAGCTAATTCAACTTAATAACGACGTATAACAAAAGTTGAAATAAGCTTCATTCCTTTAATATTTATGAATATATTTGGTATACGAAAACACGGACCCTGTTTACAATTTGAAGAATTTATATTCTGTACCTCAGTTGTTAATCAACAAATGAAATTAAACTTTTTGATGATCGTTTGAATACCTTAAAATTAGTTAGGATTTGTAAGCTGGGTATTTAAAAGGTTCAGTTCAAACTGTGTCAATGTCCCTTTAAATTCTTGTTTCAATGGCCACAATTTTATTCCACTACCACTTTATCAAGAGGAGGTTTCATTGTAAAGTATTTATTAAATTGACATTTGTTAGAACAATTAATTTGTTCTAGACAAACTTTGCATAAGGAGATAAAATCCTTTTATAAAACAATTAACTCATTTTGACACATATTGAGTAATGGTTAATGCCAGTTAATCATTTATTGTTGGCTGAAATTAAGCTGTGCTGTTTTGTTTTTTTATTTGATTTATAAATTATGTACTTAATGCTTACAATACGATAGATTAAGAAATACAAATATATTTTAATCTTGTAAAAAAAAATAATATAAAAATTGGTTTGCATAAAAAACACAAGATTTTATTACAGTTTCAAGTCAATTCTTTACAATGGTAGATCGAAAACACAGAATAAGTCTTCTCCCTTTACGAATTCTGATTATATCAATTAAATGATGCATCTTGTAAAATCAACAACCCTTTAAACTTTTGTCCACATCGAGTAATGTTTTTTATTATTTTAACAGAATGGCCAAAATGACAACAAGAAGTGCGATCACTATCGCAACAAGCACCCAGTGACTCGCACTTATCCCCTTAAACTTTGCAGGCGTTGTGTATAAGATTTCCAAGAACCAAATCCATGTAAAACGACCAGGCCTTATTATATCTGTGCTCTCCAAAGCTGGATCCAAGACCTGTTAATAGAACTCAAGAGTTTATTAGTGTCTCCTGTTTATTTTCATTTTTTAATGGTGTTTATGTTCTAGTGGTCAAAGGAATAGTGGTTGGGGTACTGCAGCGGAATTTGAGGGTAGGGTGGTTGTTAAATAGATTAAACAATAATATCAACGGTATCATTTATAAGTTCTACGGTCTGTATAAATGCAATCCATCAGTAAGCAAATACGGATTAGCGTTCTTTCTCACACACTGAATTTTCAACATAATCCCGCTATTTCGCGATCATTACAGGGTACAATGACTGTCAGCAATATAGTCTATTATTGGGTCGAATGCTGACTGAGTGTTTTTTTTTTACGATTGATAATCTTTTGTTAACACGCTGTGGTTCAGTGGACAGGAAAAACGCATAAAAATTGCTGATAAAATAATATATATATATATATATATATATATATATATATATATATATATATATATATATATATATATATATATATATATATATATATATATATATATATATATATATGTCTCATGTATTTTAAGGTGTTTTGTTTCATTGTTATATCGTTTGCAGTGTACTTGACAATCATGCGATTTGTTTTGTATGAACATCAACAATTGGTTAAGCCTAGCTGTCTTTTTTGTATAAAAATATTTATTTCAAAATACAACTTATCTTAAGCTTCAATACATTTTGCACGCTTAACACTAGTAACAATAGCTTAAGAAATTTTGTGCGTGTTGCTAAAAAATGATTTTAAAGTTTGATATGAAAATTAACATATCTTAATTGAAAAAAATGAAATTGTACAAATACCTGTTTTAAAAACTCCAGCACAGGAATGTCTAAATCTGGGTAATTCTTTGCTTCCACAACACGAATCTTATTGATATTATCGTCACAATAGCTCGTGCAATGCAGATAGTTCAAGTTAGAGATACCAAGAGCTGATTTGAACCTCTCCTCAAACTTTTCAAAGTTTTCTAAAGCTGGTGATCTTTTATCTCTACCCGTCAGCACACCAAAGATAGGAATATCTAAATATTATAAAAAATTCATCAAAATCGGCATATGCCTTTAGATTACAACACTTAACGATCTTTTCGTTCATCAAAGAAGTTTTTAAATGCAGAATATATTGATTTGTTCGACACAACCGCTCTAAGTTACTCCTAATCTTACATGTTTTTTCTCTACAAAAATATTATTGAAAATATCGAAACTTCTTTTCTGGTACATTTTGTTCGATGCAATGACCTTGTTAGCAAATAAAATTTTTCATCAAGTCAAATGCTAACACTTTTTACATTAAATGTTAGTCCATTATGAACACACTTAATTGACGACAGCTTTTCCTATTATTTTTCGATTATATCAAGAAAAACTTGGTACTTGTGACCGGTCAATCGGCATTAACGCGCGCTTCTCCATGGCATCTGATCCGAACTCTGATGATTTGAGGTCCGTGTTTGCTCTTATTTATATTCTTTTACGGATCTTTGAGCTTGAATGCTATTCTTTATCTCCATGTAATACAGTACAATTCATTCATAAAATCCGTTGAAAGAATGATTTTTCTACGCATAACGTTATAAAATGGGGGTTATGAAAAGGAATAGAGAAATAATAATTGTCTTTTGTCTAACATATAAGGTATATACTTGTATTAAAATTACCTCTTTTTTTCGAAATGACAGCCCTGACAGCATTACAAAGCTCAAGTGGTAAATTCGAGTTTGCTGCAGAAGCAACAAAAATAACTCTGTCGATTTTTTTACATTCCGCTGTTAATGGATACATTTTCTCCACCGGCCATGTACCACTCGTTCTTCAATATGAAGAAATAATCATTTTATATATAAGGAAACCTTTTGATATAAACGTATCTGCACAAATGTTATAAAATCATGTTACTTGTAATTTCATTTAAAGAAAAATACCTCATCTTATTTAAAAACTCGTGAACAAGGACATTGGATGGAATTCTTCCGTAGAATAACAACTCAATTGCTTTCCGTGTTACTTGATCATCACTGTCTTCAAAGCCCACTATGTCTAGAATATCTGGAAAAACACATTGCTGGAGATTTTCGTCTGCAAATTCCATGTACTTCTTTTGAAATACCCTTTAAGAAAGTATAAGTCACCACATCACCACATTGTTCTTAAATTAAAAAAAACATTATTTATGTTATTTATTGATCTAAATACTAAGTTATGTTTGAGAATTGTGAAATACACAAAGAATTCCTTCTTTTTTCGAAACAAACTGCCAGTTAAAAACTACCTGGTCATAACTCTAAAAGATTGTAGATTTGCTTTTTTTTTTTAATTATATTAGTACAATTTAACAAACAACATTCTGTATGAATTACATATAATTTGATTTTTTTTTATTGAAACTGCGATTATTTATTCAATTTCCCTAGAGATGTGTATAAAGAACCCTTCTTTATTGACCATACACTGCTGGGTTTTTATAATAAAGACAACAAAAAAACAGAACAAAAACTTTTCTTTTTCTTCAAATTCTTTTCTATAAGTGAAATTAATTATATTAGCGGTGTAAGTTTTCATTTTCATTAACACTACTTAAAAGCTGCATTTCATACCTTAATTCATTGAAAGTTACTAGTAGTAAGAATACGAGTATGTAATATTTGCAACATCCTGTGTTGTTCAATAGACCCTATCCCTGCCACTTTCCATATTCTTTTTTAATACATGTCAGTATTTATATAGCGCTAGATATATCGAATTGGTAATATTTTTTTTACAGTTTAAAATTCAAAATTTATTATCTATAATTCATATACAAATTTGAGTGCTAATGAAGTGCACATTCATTTAAATAACCTACGGGATTGCGCGAAGTGTTATTGCTCCTTCTCCGCGTCCAGTCTTCGCCCATTGTCTATATTCTCCGGTTATACTGGCAATCATGGTATTGATAAAGGAAGATTTTCCAACTCCAGGGGGTCCAATAACAGCTATAGTCATTTGTGACTTTTTGTTCTTTTTGACTTGTTCTAATAATATTTTATGTAGGTCCTCTCTTTTTCTATCCACATCCATAGTCGAAATGATCCTTGCACTATACGTGAAAACATATTGATACATTATACTTTTATGTAAACTAGTTGAAATCTCATTCGTCGACAAACAGTTTTTAAAAACACAATTACCCACGAAATACGAAGCCACGCCTTAAAGCGTGACATCAGACAATATTGCTTGTCGATGGGACGATTTATTTAAAAAAAATATGAAAAGAATTTATGAGCGCACGGTTCACCGTTAAACGATATGTATAATATAAAAACATTGCATGAAGATGAGTGTAACATTAGAAAAATATTACATGTAGTTGAGTGTAATTGTGAAACAGTTCAACCCCAAGAAAATCATTGTCAACCGAGGCACAGCCAAGGTTGACAATGGTTTTCTTGGGGTAAAAGTTTTAAGTGTTACACTCTCTACATGTAATATTTATCATATTAATGAAGTACATTCAAAATATAGATAATAATAACTTTAATATATTTTAAAGTAAAAGAACACTTAGTTTGAATAAGGGATAACAATCGACTAGATCTCTTACATGGCGCTCCGATCCGACCCATTAATCAGCAAAAAAAAAAACCTTCAACAAAACTCGAATCTAGTAAACATGATTATTCTTAACTTACATGTAAAATCAAGTTTTAATTTAATAAGAACATTATATAGACCTAACTTTAACTTGAATAAAACATGCCTTAAGTATCGGATACATCGTAACCAAAAAGTCTCACAGCAAGTGTTTTTTTCTTTTCCCGCATAAGATAGGATTTTTTAACAGAAAATTCTAATTCGAGTAATCGTCCCGCATAAGATAGGATTTTTTAACAGAAAATTCTAATTCGAGTAATCGTCCCGCATAAGATAGGATTTTTTAACAGAAAATTCTATTTCGAGTAATCGTAGCAACACCAACCATAAAACTCAAAACATGCACCAATTAAATTATATATGCATGTGCGTTCTTCGTATATTCCAAGTTCTATCGAAATCAGACCAAAAACTATGTGAGAAGTAACATTTTAAAAGTACGTGTAAATATCCTTCATTTAATATGACACAATATGACACTGATTTTTTGATTATAAAAATGGGAAAAAATCTAAGTCACACTGATATTCCCTTTAAGGATCACTATATACCATCATGCTATAACTGATTATATTTGTGATGCTAACTTTGTTGCTTTACACTCTATTTAAATTTTTTTCACTTTAAATTACTAGATACATCACCAAATATTTTTGAAGGGTTTCTCATTTAGCCTTCACTCGGCACTTAGGGTCATTGACCATTCGTTTTTTTTTTTTTTTGCCGTACAAACACCCGAACTTTCAATTAAAGTGACGACCTTCCGGTCATGAAACGAGCGCTCTACCTTATTGCTTACAATGTCAATGTATCAACCATAGAACTTACAAAATGATGACTTTAAACGAGACTGCTGATATTCTTATTTCATCAACTTGTTTGTCAATAATTTACCTCGTTTTATAAATTGCTCTTACGTAAATCATGCTCTTGCGTTTCGAATCAACTGAGATATATACACTCCGAATGCAGATGATGAAGGTATATTGCTGTATAATAAGGGGAAGTTGACGATAGAAAAGTGAATATTCATACCTTTTAGGCTGTTTTGATCACTGTGAAATCACAAATTTTCCGTTGGGGTTTAATTTTCATTGTTTTCGAGGTGATTTGACGAGACCCAATATTCATGTACACCACGAAATGTAAAATGTTACATAAATAAGTAATCATTAATTCTTGATCCACGAAATGAAATCCCCACGAACCAAGAGATTTTCCAAAAACCACGAAAATTTGACCCCACGGAAATATGTGAAAATAAAATTCATTTGTTTTGGATTATACAACTGTTGATTAAAACCATTTACCTACCTTTTCTTTGATGACAACCGCAGCAAAGTTTCGACAGAAACACGTTTTATCCTGAGAAGATGCGTAAATGAATTAACATTTTGTATGATCAATTTGAAATCAAACACACAGAAGGAAATTTCTAAATTGAACATAAAACATGAAGATATTTTTTTTATTCCAATGAAGATTTTCAAGAGTAAAGTGAAAAGCAATCTCTATGAAATATTGTCTGAACTGTAAGTAAAAATGCAGCGATTTCCTTTTTCATTAGGCTAGTTCAAACTAGTTCAAACTAAGCAGACCAAGCAGATAGGCAACTCTGAATTGAATATTGGGGGCTTTGTTTTTGAAAGGAAAGATCGTATACTACAGACAGGTGGTGGAATTTTAAAATACAGTTCAAATAATATTCCTTTTAAACGTAGAACTGATTTTTAAATCAGTTATATTGAAACAATATGGCTAGAGATAAATCTGAAAACTTCAAAACCTATATTTTATTGCTCTGCTTATCGTCCACAATCTGCCCCCTCCTGCTTGGCGGAGGACCTAGCAAGGGAGGTGAACCGTGCCTCCTGCTGTAACGATACTGAAATAATACTATCAGGTGATTTAAATATTGATCTAATGAAAGACACCCCACAATACTGGACATCTGCTTTAGAAGAGTTTGGACTTTCACAGATAGTTACTGTTCCTACTGGAATAACAAGTACCTCAAGTACCTTAATTAATCATTTTTATAAAACCAAACCAAAAAACATATGTGAAACAAGTGTGCCCCCTATTGCTATTTCTGACCACTATCACTAATTGCATACTGCATAGAGGAAAACATACTGAAATTCAATATCGAGATTTTAAACCAATTGAAAATGAGTTTCTAAGAGATTTAAAAATGCAAATTTTGACACTCTTCTTGAACTTAAAGACACAAACGTGATAATGAATAATTTTTATGATTTATATAATGATATTCTTAACAAGCATGACAAAGTAAAAACTAAAAGAGTCAAGACTGAAATTCGACCTAAATGGCTTACACAGGAAATAAATGATGCTAGACATTTACGCAATTCATATCATTTACAAAGGAGTTCAGAAAATTACAAAATTTGGAGAAATAAAGTGACAAAATTAATAGATCAAGCAAACTCAAAGTATTACCAATAAGCAATTGAAGGAAGCTCAAGTCCTAAAGAAATCTGGAGTTATTTAAACCATTTGGCATCTAATTCCAAATATTTTACACCTATCCGTATTACATAAAATGGTTTAGATTTTGAAAATTTACTGGATAGTGTTGATATTTCTAACAAACACTTTACGGAAAGATTCTGTAAAGAATTAGCAGATATATCAGTACAAAGTTTTGAATCAGAATTATTAAATCGATATACAGAAACTAAACTAGGAAAAGAAAATTCTTTTCAATATTTATGAAATAAGTGAATTTGAAGTATTAAATATGTTGAATACACTTGATGTAAACAAGTCAGCCGATATAGACTTTATCGAAACTCGTCTTCTAAAACTTTCGACGGATGTTCAATGCAAATCTATTACACATCTTATAATTTCGATAGAACTTGGAATATCTTTGCCTCTAGCTTTGATCTTTTAGTTAAATCACAATCTGGATGTTGAGAACTTCATTCATGCCAAACGGCTCTTACAAAACTTACAGATAATTGGCTACAAGCTATGGACCAAGGAAATCTAGTAGGCATAACTTTCATTGATTTTAGGAAGGCATTTGATTTTGGTTAATCATGATATACTTATAAGTAAACTTCAATCATATCACTTTGATCAAATGGCTATTAAGTGGTTCCATTCTTATTTAACCTCAAGGTCTCAGTGTATGAAAATAGGAACATATTCCCCTGATGTTTTGCCCGTCACAGCAGGGGTGCCCCAGGGATCTATCTTAGGTCCCCTATTATTTTTATTGTATATTAATGGTCTCCCTTTACATGTTAATAGAACAGATATTGATATGTTTGCCGATGATGCAAACTTACAAACATGTCATTAAAATAAAGAAGGCATTGAGAATGCCCTAAACTTTGATTTGTGTGAGATTGAAAATTGGTGTTCCAAAAATCAAATGGTGTTGAATACCAACAAGATAAAATGTATGCTTATGGGAACTCAGCAAAGAAAATCAAGATTTGTCTGGATTATAGTATTAATATTTGTCGTTAATACACAACAAGATTGCCACTTTCCCTAAGGATTAAGAATAAAGTTATAATTTGTGAAAGTGCAAGGATGTGTCAATCAAACCCGCCAAAAGATTTAAAGTTTAAATAACTTTTGAATGAAACAAGATTTTTAATTCATTTTTGTGTGAAATGCTATTAAAATATATAATTCGTGATATTATAGAGAAAATATTAAAGATTAACTTCAAATCTGTGAAGACCTTTAAATGGACAAAATATTTTTACTGTACTCGTGATCACGTGTGTTGACCAGGGAATCCACAATTGTATTCACCGATAGCACAATAACGGAATTCAACAAGCGTGAAATTCCTGTAGTATTCGTAGTAACCCATAACGCAATTCTCATTCAGCTGATTTGTCGGTTAAAGTCACAATGGTGCCTCATTTGCTAATCTGACGTCAAAAAATATAGTCCCGGTTCCCATGCAAAATATTTGTCTAAAAAGAATTTTTTATCCATGATAGCAGAAAATTGTTTCATAGAGAATACATATGATTTAAACTTGAATGAATTCAAGAAAGATCGATTTAAGTACTTTTCTACAGAATGATATTACAGGGTGATGAAAACTAAAACGCAGCATAACTTGCCAGACACTGTCAGAGCTACTCTGAACTTATCAGGTTTTATAATTTGCAGAAAACCGAAAAATTAAAGATTCCGAAAACATTAGTAGGGATGAAAAGGGCAGCCCGGATTATATTAAATATGACTTATGATGACCCTTCACTACCATTATTCTAAAAACTTGGATGGCTGACCATATACGAGTTGATAGATTTTCATAAATATGTATTACTGTACAAAACACTTCATTATATGGCACCTACTTAAGAGACTCTTTTGAATGTATATCTTGTACATGTAGTAGTTATGTTTTACGATCAGAAACGAACTATGACCTTCATCTACCGAAATTTTGAACTAATCAATTCCAAAAATTCTTTTCATTATTCCGATGTTTATTTATGGAACAAATTACCTTTGTATGTACGTTTTTCACAGAATCTATACATATTTTGTAAACATGTAGAAACATTTATTATAAGTAAAATGTCTTAAAATCTATATGCACTTGTATTTTTACATCATGTTCGATTATTTATTATTGTACAATGTTTTTATAATTGTATTATTGTGAACATGCTTAGAGGGCCCCAAGGAAGACTAGTGCATCGTACTAATCAGGTTACCATCTTAAAAAAGTATTATTATTATTATCATTATTATTATTAAGCATCAACCGAAACACCTTTTAGTAGACAAAAGTCCCCTTAATTGGTTTCACCCATTTAGCTTGTTTTACATAAAGGGAACGTATAACTTTAGTACCTTCATCTTTGTGTTTATTTTTTTTAAGTATTTCACTTTTTGTAGCATAACTATCATGTTTGAAGATTTCCACTTGGTTTCAACCTAAAACAGCGGTATTAGCTGTTTACAATTGCTGTTCGATGTTTTTTAATTTGCATTTTTTTGAAAAAAATGTACACATTGCCTTATTGGCAAGTAAGTAAGGATATCGTTCAAAATAATCATATCGAAAGATTTATGGTAATTACAATGGAAACATCAATAATTACAATGGAAACAACAAACCAGTGGTTTGAAGTGTTTACCTCTTGTTGACTCGGGAATGTAATAATTATAACTATATTTTTTTAAGATTGTATATTGTTTTACATCCCTCTCGAGAATTTTTCACTCACATGGAGACGTCACCGTATCCCGGTGAAGGGCTTCAAATTTTGACCTTTACTCGGCACTCAGAGCCATTGAGCAGTGAGGGATCTTTATCGTACCAACGTCTGCTGCTGACACGGGGCCTCGACTTTAAAGGTTTCATCCGAAGGACCCGCAACTTTCACTACAAAGTGCCGAGCGCATGATGAAGGAACAGTTGCTACCCATTTCATCGACTAGGTCAGTCGCGGCCGAGATACGAACCCACGACCTCCCGCGATCACGGAGCGAGCGCTTTACCGACTGAGCTACCGTGAACGGTATTTATATATTTTTTTTTACTAAGAAACAAATTATTTAACCCACCTTAAACCATACTAAACTAAAGGAAATAATGCTGAATGTCTTTCAATTGACTGTAGGCCTATATGAAAGAACGAGGTAAGGTTTTACTTTGATATTAACAAAAAGTAATCAGGTGTTATTATTAAAATGTACTTTTCCACATAATCTGGCACTAATGTTACCAAGATTTCGTTAGAAATTAACTTAGCCACTGGTACATTTGTGTAAAATTGTGCAATATGGGACATACCAGGTAAATATTGATATTATTCACGTAGCCGGATTTTTACTAAGCCGAAATTTATTAATATTGCTGATAAAAACAACGTCTAAGCTTCTCCACATGATTTGGCACTGGAGTTACCAAGAATTCGTTAGCAAAAACTTAAGTTACTACAGTTACTAACTTTGCAGATGAAAACTATCACTTAGCTTTTCCGCATCATTTGGCATTGACGTTACGTAGATATCTTTAGTAATAGATACAGCTACTAGAACTCTTTATGTAAATATGTGTGCTATTTGGGGATACAAATGTCGATACTTTTGAAGTAGCTGGATTTCAAAATCGCTGATATTCACTGATATTGCTTATAAAAACAATCTCTTAGCTTTTCCATATGATTTGGCACTGATATCACCAAGATATCGTTAGAAATAAACTCAGCTACTAGTACCTTATTAGTAAAATTGTGCAATTTTGGGATACAAGTGTTGGTATTCTTAAAAAGGCTGAATTTTTACATCGCTTTTATCTGCCGATATTACTGATAAAAATAATCAACTAGCTTTTCCATATGACATGGCACTGGAGTCAACAAGATATCGTTAGAAATAGATATCAGCGATGTTTAAATCCAGCTTTTTCAACAATATCAACATCTGTATCCAAAAATTGCACAATTTTACACAAAAGTATTAGTAGTGTACTTCTAACGATATCTTAGAAACAGCATTATCAGGTCATGTGGAAAAGCAAAGAGACAGTTCTTATCAGCAATATCAGTAGGTAACAGCGATGTAAAAATCCAGCTACGTCAATATTAACATTTTTATCCCAAAATTGCACAATTTTACACAAAAGGCACAAGAAGCTGAGTTTGTTTCTAATGATATCTTGGTAACTTTAGTGTCAGATCATGTGAAAACGTTTAGACATTGTTTTTAACAGCGATAACAGTGGATATCAGCTATGTAAAAATTCACCTTCTTCAAGAATATCTATATTCGTATCCCAAAATTGCATTATTTTACACAAAAGGTACTAGAAGCTGAGTTCATTACTAAAGTTATCTTGGTAACATCAGTGCCAAAGCATGTGGAAAAGCTTAATGATAGTTTTTATCAGCAATATCAGTAAATATCAGCAATGTAAAAATCCTATACTTCAATAATATCAACAGTTTTATCCAAAAATCGCACAATTTTAGAAAAAAAAGATACTAGTAGCCGAGTTTATTACTAAGGTTATTTTCAGTGCCAAAGCATGTTTAAAAGCTAGAGACAGTTTGTATCACCAATATTAATAGATAGTATCTTATAAAAAATCCGGCTTCTTCAATTATATCAACATTTGTATCCAAAAATCGCACAATTTCAGAAACAAAGGAATTAGCTAGAATATCCCAAAATTGCATGATTTTACACAAAAAGGTACCAGAAGGTTCTTGCAATTTACCAGTAGCTAGTAACTAATAACCAACCTTTCTTCTCGTAGCCAGTTACTAGAAGCCAACTTCATACACTTGTCGTAGCCAGCTACTTTTAGCCAGTTACTAGTCACTGGATTTTACGAGGAGCGCTGACTTTTACAGTTGATGGCTTACTTTTACACTAAGAAAATATATGGTAGCACTTTTACGATATACAAATTTAGTAGGGATAGCAATCGATTACAGAATTGCTAATCGGTTAACCGCAAGACGTTCCGACCGACTAACCGGTTAACCGTATCAAAATACGCATTTTCGTAATATACATAATTCTTTTTTCCTTTGAAGATCTATTCATATATAAAAGAAGACTGAAAAAGTCTATATGTTAAATTATTATTTGTCTTTATTCTTGCTTTTAAAAAAATATAAGCGTATCTATTTTATTTTATTTCAATATAGACTGGGCAGGCACGTAGCATCGATTTTGAAAGGGGGGGCAGCCACAGAAATTTTTTTTTTTACTTACCTGAAAAAGTTGACAAGCAAAAAAAAATTAAAACGTAACTTGCCCAAAATCCTATTTCGTGGGGGAGGGGGGGGGGGTTAGAGACAAACTTTTTTCACTGCAATTTTTTAAGCTTTTAGTACTAACAGTACTATATTTCCTTAGTAATACTTTACTTTAGTAAAGAGTGGGGGGGGGGGGGGCAACCAGACTTTCAATGAACATTTTCAATAGTAAAAGGATTGTTGGCAAAAAAAGTGGGGGGGGGGGGGCAGGCCCCTCTGTCCCCCCCCCCTCCCTGTTGGTACGACCCTGCTGGGGAAAAAAATTAATAAAAGCACGCACGAATCATGTCTAAGTAATAACTGATATTTTTCTAATTCAGATTTCACATACGTTTATTCTGCGTTGCCACCATAATTAAAAAGATTTAAGTCTAAAATACATCACTTAATTTTTGTGTTTAAACAGCAATTAACACTTCAAACACAAATATGACCAATTAATTACCCTACAATCTCAATCCTGAGAACAATAATTACATCCAAGTCATATTGGATATGTGAAAACGCCGAATTATCAATGTTTGTGCAAATATTTCTTTTAAAAAAAAATGAATTAATGCTGACAAAATTATGTTCTAATGTATATAAATTTTAATTTTTTTTCCGACTAATGCCTAGGTCACATTTTCCGGCCGGTAGCCGTAGACCGGTGGTAATTGGTGGTAATCCGTGGTGTTAACGATGTCCCAACACCGGTCCACATTGGCCTAAAAGTCCTTAAAGAATCAGTCACATTATCCAGCGATGGGTATACGATAGGCAAACAATGTGTTTTATGATAAAAATGGCGTGCTTGCCGGCCGGACTTACGAAGGCCCAGCGATGCAATGCTAATTATGAAACGATGTTCCAGGATAATCGGCCGAAGTATATTTCTTCGCTCATACCTTGGTGAACATGGTTCGAACATCGGTCGACTACGGGCCAATGTTTGATCGAACACCACTCATCCCCCCGATGACCTCAGATTCAACGGATATTGGACGATGCTCGGTCATACGAGTGCCGATCCCTAAAAGATGTGTTAATGATGGGTTACCGATGAGGAGTTATGAGGGGCATCGTTGGAGACATCGCTAATTTTTAACCACGAATTATTTCCTACCGATTCGCAAAATGGCCGTAGTCACCGTCCGATCACAAATGGTGTCCGGGCGGCAACCACGCCATTTTCATCAAAAACCGCATCGTATACCCCATCGCTGGATAATGTGACTGATACTTAACCGATTACAGATTTTCTTACCGATTGCCATCGTTCCAACCCTCGGGGAAGTAATTGTCATTTGTATTTATTAATTCAATTTGCTTTAAATCAGATATGTGTTACGCTCCGAAATTCTGATTGTCGTTATACAATCTTTGTTTCGCTCCAAAATTGTAATTGTCGATTAATAAAGTGCTCATCGACCATCAGAATTTCGGAGCGTAACAAGGATTTGATTTTAATCAGTTTGCTTTTTTTTGTAAATTGCCCGGTGAATATGTATTATGAACTTTGATGTATAACTGCTATAAATGAAAACTTAGTATGTTATATGTAAATACGTCTCAGTTAATTTCTATGTAAGTTAATACCATATATCACTCTTTTGTCTTTCATGCTTTAAAACTATTCAAGGCATGAATTTGAAAGGTGTTTTCGGGGGATGTTGTAGTCAGTTTCACTAGTACACCAACAGATACTTTGAAAAATAATTCAATATCTTTTCTTCCTCTTGTTTTTTTTTGCGTTAAAAATTACGAAAAATATATTCCGAATTCCCGATATTAAATTACAGAAATCAGCATCATTTAAATTTCTACGGCAAATGAACAGTAAAATTCTGGAAAATTTATCAATGAAATATAGGCGATAACGAACAGTATTCGGAGGTCCGTGTTTGCTCTGCTCTTATTCTGTATTGTTTAATGGACTTTGAGATTGAATACTGTTCAATATCTCTATATCCTTCATTCAAGATTAAAAGCCATAAAGCAATACAAAATAGGAGCAGAGCAATCACGGATTTCCAAAACATCGGAGAGGGGATCAGGTGCCAAAGAGGAACGAGCATCAACGTTTTCGATATTGTCATTTTATACATGAATCGATCGCCGAAAAAAACATCAATAATCGTTTCAAGGAGTGTATTGGAATATATAAGAGATGGGATCTATTGGCGCCAAGATAAAAACGGGACCTGTCTTACGTATGAGTGCTAAAAGCGAATCAGGAAAGCGAACGCCGGAATCGCTCTAGCAGACCGAGAGCTGATTCCAAGCAAACGTGGAACAAACACAAGGCGAACCCAGAGCAATCTTAAAATAACTGAAAGCGGACCCAAAGCGAACCCCGAGCGAACCCAAGAAGCAAACCCGGGGTGCGCTTTTGGTTCGCCCTAGTGTTAGGTTGTGTGCTGTCGGAACTGTAGTTATTTCCTAATTTTCGATTCTTATTAAAATCAATTGCAGTATATAATACATATTATTTCATGCTTTTCTTCTAGGGTTATGTTATTGAGAGAAATATTTATATTGTTAATCATACTTATATATATATATATATATATATATATATATATATATATATATATATATATATATATATATATATATATATATATATATATATATATATATATATATATTATGAGATTTTGTGGGAGATAAGTGCAATTAATTCCCAGTGTTTTGTCTGAAGAAATAAGTCTTATGAAGAATATTGAGATAACAAACAGTTTTCAATAACAAAGTTAGATCTCTTTGTTATTCAGTATTGCCCGAATGATATTTTAATGAAATAAATAGCTTATTTTTAAGCAAAGTTTAATTCGACAATTTTTTCCGTATGTTTTTATGACTGTTCATTTGTTTTTGTTTTTTTTTTAATTTCGTTTTAATTTATACATGTCTCGAGTTTTCAAGGAAAAAATCAAGCTTTTCAAAGTAATGATTTACGTTTCTCAACTTGAAAACGATAACGCTTTTTCCTATACGTTTGAGAATTAAAGAAGTGCATAATTATATGACTCAACCGCCATTTTTTTTTATTCTTATGGGAAATAGCTATTTTTTAAATTAAATATGTTTGTTACAATTAAGTCGAAGGAAACTCCATAATAAAAAAAATAGTCTATTCGTCTATGTACTTAAAAAGTACGCAAAAATAATTTCTTACCTGCCTCCTCTCTGCTCTATTTCGCAAAGTAAACTACAACTTTCGTGCAACCTTGAATAAAAAGAATGCAATCTCAAAAACAGAGTATCTTGTTGCAGACTTGCATGCATAATATGGGTAAACAGATTAGTTCATAAATTTTTAAAAAGCTTTTCAATAAAGAAGGGCTTATTCCTTACTTTTTTACAATATTGTGGCCCAGTTTTAATCGCAGGGTCAATAATTTCTAGATCATTTTCCACACTACAAACACATTTTTATCTGCTGATCTGGCAGAATTTTTTTCCTTCTTAAAAAGCTCTAATATCTAGATTTTTCCAAATATTCAGAGGTAAAATGACAGGATCCATCCCCCATTGCACGCTATCCCACTCTGTGAATTTAGAGGTCTGAGTTCCCGCTCCTCCCAATCTGTACTGTCTCAAAGGACCTTGACGTTTGATTCCTGTTTGTTATCTTCAAATCTTATTCTAGACCCCAGAATCGAGTCATGAACAGAAACAGATTGTCTTTTACATCACACTGGAAAACGGGGCGGTCCTTCGGATGAGACCGTATAAGCCGAGGCCCCGTGTCACAGCAGATGTGGCACGATAAAAATCCCTCCCTGCTCAAAGGCCGTAAGTGCCGAGCATAGACCTAATTTTGCAGCCCTTCACCGGCAATGGTGACGTCTCCATATCAGTGAAATATTCTGGAGAGGGACGCTAAACACTATAAAATCAATCAATCAATCAAACATGTTGCTTTTGTTACACTGCTATTTCATCCGCCGTCTACCTGACATTTTTGTCAAAACCTCAAATACATTAAATTGTACTAATAATTTAATAATCTTGTGCGTTGCCGGTAAAACTCAGTTTGCGACCATTAAATCTGCATTATGGTTGCAAATCCAAATAAAGATACTTATTCCCTATTTTTCGATTTTTATAGTATTTTGTCTGCAACAATTAGTCATTCTCAGTTACTGAGTATTGTGTCAAAATTAATTGTAATGAAAGAAAAATATGAGTAATGATACATATAATCTAACTAAAATGAATTAAGACATCGACAAGTGTAAATTAATGGGAATGACGCTCTAATAAGATGTTTCCAAGAAAGCAATGTTTTTTTTACCCCCTGACCTTGATGTTTAACCTAATTTTCAAAAGTTTTAACGTGATTACGTTTGAATGACATATGATAGGGCATACATATATTACAGAATATGCAATAATAATTATAATGACATATTATCCACTTAGACAGAAAGCAAAGGACCATAATTCTTTGAATTTGCTAGTTTATTATTCCTTTTGATACGAAAACATCCTCATATAATGTAGATTCAAGTTTTTATGTCCTGTTAAGAATATGAACTTGAAATACAGTGTTTGTCATTCATCCGTCCTTCTATCTTTTTATCCTTCCGTCTGTTCGTCCTTCAGTCTTTTCGTCCTTCCGTCTTTTCGTCCTTCCATCTTTTTATCCTTCGGTCTTTTCTTCCATCGCACTTTACATTTACCTCAGTTCACGTCTCATTTTCAAAGAAACTATTCGCGATCTTTGTATTTAACTTGATAGACTGATAAATATTGATCAGAGCTGTGGAACTCATCTACATTTTTTTTTTTACATTAACCTTTCCTTTGGCGTCACATTTTTTTAAAATTTTTGTTTAGCACAACTTGTATGTAGCACAGTTTTAAAGATATCATACAGTTGCAGCAAAGTGTAATCAAACTTCATATGTTGACACATAGTGATGTAATCTTTCCAACTGCATCACCATTTTTGACGTATTTTTTTTTTTAAATTACTGTTTAGCTAAGTTTGAAAAAAACCATTCAAAGTTACTTATCAATTCTTAATTTCAAATTAGTATAATATATTTTAAAATATAAAATAATCGATTCATGATATTTTTATTCTTTTGCAAGTAGTAAAGGCCTACAGATGTTAGCTTTCCAGCTGCATAGATATTTTGACCTCAACTTTCTCTATGATCTCTCTTTTATTAAATAATTATTGTTAAACTCAGCTTCAAATAAATCATTCAAGCTATTTTATAAAACCTGATATGCTGACGGGTATTTCTGGGAGCTATTTAACAGCATCAAACCATTCACGTTAGCTCGGTCAGTAGATCGGAAGGTCGTGACTTTGAATCTCGAATAAGTCGTTCAAAAATGGGTAAACTATTTCTTCGCGATGCGTTCGGCAATTTGAGGTGAAAGTTGTGGGCCTTACGGATGAGACCTTTAAAACACTAGGCCCTCATCACAGCAGGCGTTGGCTATAAAGCAATACAAAATAGGAGCAGAGCAAACACGGACTTCCGAAACATCATAGGTGGGATCAGGTGTCATGGAGAAGTGAGCATCCCCTGCCGACCGGTCACACCCGCCCTATGCTCCTTGTCATGATCGGGAAATAGCGGGAAAATTTGTCGTCCATTCAGTGTATTAATGATGGACTAACAATTGGTATGAAAAACGTCAGTCAGCATTTGGCTTAGGCTCTTAATGCTCTTGCTGACAAGGTCACTGCATCGGCCACAGAACTCACGAAATTATGATCCTAAACGAGAAATTGTTCACACCTAGAGCATTCCCTTTGAGTAACAAATCAACTGAGATATATATGCTCCGTGTGCAGGCGATGAAAGTATATTGCTACATAAGTAAGGGAAGTTGAAGAAAGAAAAGTTATACATGTTCACGTTTATCTTAAAACTTGTTTGTTAGATTACCATTAACGTCTTTTTCAAGTAAATATATCCCTATATGAAACAGATGTGTCCGACTCCGTGGTATCTTTTATCTCAAGCTCACCAGGTATATTTTGTCGACCTGGAAATGAAAATTACTATTGTTAATTGACAATACGTTGTCGATATATCTAAATGTTGAGTTGAAGGCCATAGCAAGTGTTTTCTTCTTTTCATGCATAAGATTTTGCACAAATTTTGCTTCATATGAATATAAAAATAGGTCTGCTAATAACGGAGCACAATTTGTACTCATGAGAATTTCAATAGATTGTTGGAATACCTGGTCTCCGAAATGCACATAGATATTGTCAATTTGAAATTCAAGCAACTCTTTGATGTCAACTCCAGAGTACTTGTGTAGCAATCAGAATGTTTTTTAACAAAATAATTTTATAAATGACCAATGACTTGTGAGTAAAGTTGGAGGCAGAAGAAGAGCAAACAGAGTCCTCCAGAACATCAGAGGTGGGACCATGTGCCATGGAGGAGTGAACATTCTCTTTCGACATTTCACATCCATCGTATACTCTTTGTCATGATCGGAAAATAACGGGAAAATCTGTCGCGTCCACAATTCAGTGTGTATGTAATGACCAAATTATAAGTATGAAAAAAATTAGTCGGAATTTGATTGATTGTATACTGTTTTACGTCCCGCTCCAGAATATTTCACTGATATGGAGACGTCACCATTGCCGGTGAAGGGCTGCAAATTTAGGCCTATGCTCGGCACTCAGGGCCTTTGAGCAGGGAGGGATCTTTATCGTGCCACACCTGCTGTGACACGGGGCCTCGGTTTATACGGTCTCATCCGAAGGAATGCCCCATTTAGTCGCCTTTTACGACAAGCAAGGGGGTACTGAGGACCTATTCTAACCCGGATCCCCACGGGGTAGTCGGAATTTGATCTGTATTTGCCGACAAAGTCGTTATATCCACAATAGAACTTACGAAGTGATAACTTTGAACGTTTTTTTTGTTTCAACCTTATATAAATGTCGGGAATTTCAAAGTTGAGTTTTCTAAGGTCCTACTATATTCCTCGATAAACAGAACTCGCACAAGCATGGGAACTTATGATATTTTGTTGTTGTTTGTGTGAGCTATGAACGTACTCTCACATTTATTGAACTAAACAGACAGTCTTTTTGATGACAGAATCTTGGTAGTTGATGCCGCCTGCGTGCATGCGTAGTGTCACAGCGTATGCTCTAGTGTCGCGGACTAAAGTATTGAACATTTCCTTCGCAGACTCGAATCCCACTGTGGGACGTGAAGTCCTATCCTTTGCATGAGACCTTATAAACTAAGTACCCGTAATGTATATGTTTCAAGGCTCTTTATTCTATTATTTGGTTGCATTTCAACTTATAGTTGTTTTAAATAAATATTTTTAAAAAATTCAATATAGTTTGCACAACATTTTCTGATAAAAAAGCGATGTCAGTAATTTTACATGACACCCTCGTATATATACGGTATTAGAATTTCAGAAATAAACTTACGATATTTTTTACGCTATTAAGCATCGGACTGTCTCTATGTATTTTCATTGGAGAAAGCTTGATAAAATTGAAAAGAATTTGACATACATTGTGATAAATGTAGGACTAAGAATCTTTTATTACCTTCCTTAGGATGTTTAATGTAATAAACAAAAAGGAATTAGCAGTTTAGCAACCGATTGCTTTTTAGTTCATTCACACTTGATAAAATTCTTACAAATAGTCGTAGATTTTCAGTATACTCATAACTTTATCTCATATTATGAAGTAATATGCTTTTTCAAAAAGAAGATAAAGGAAAAAATAAAAATACTTACTCGTTGACTTTAGAGTTCAGTTGGTTTTGTTTTGAGATTGTTCTGATATAGACTTTGAAAACGATTATGGTATATGCACAAGAAGCTTTTCAATATGAATGGCTTTTGTTCGTCACTAAATGCGACGGACCAATCTAACTTATCCAGTTCCGCTAAATAGTCTTGGTCCAATCCCTTTGGTATGTCGCAATCATGTACAAAATTGATTTTTTCCCGCTTCTAAAATTATTTTGTCTTAGATAAAAAAAAAAGGTTTTTTGTGATTGCTATCGACCGGTGCCTGTCATTTTTGTCATTGTTGTCATAAATATTATCAATTGCAACCAAATCTAAGTCAAACTATTGCCAGGCAAAATAAAAGGGTTATTGATAAATTCAATCAAAGGATCACCCCCTCTTACAAGGGGAGACATATCGATTTTAATGAATGATTAAAGCTTCATTAAACTGATTTTTAACGTGTCATTAAATTCCGTTGTTCAAAGTATTAGTGAACGAATCGGTACATTAAACCTTCATTATATTCCTCAACTTTAATGAAGTTAAGTGGGCTTCATTAAATGGTCATTGAGTATGGCGGCCTACGTTATGTTCTGCCCGCTTGGCAGAGGTGGGATCAGGTGCCATGGAGGAGTAAGAATCCCATGCCGACCGGTCACACCTGCCGTGTGCTCCTTGTCATGATCAGGAAATAACAGGGAAAATCCGTCGTCAATTCAGTGTATAAATAATGGACTAACAGTTGGTATGAAAAACGTCAGTCAGCATTTGACTCAATGATAACCTGTATTTGCTGACATGGTCATTGTATCGATCATAGAACTTACAAAATGATGACTTTAACCGAGACTGCTGATATCCTTGTTTCGTCAACTTGCTTGTCAATAATTTACCTCGTTGTAGAAATTGTTCATACGTATAGCATGCTCTTGCGTATCGAATCAACTAAGATTTATATACTCATTATGCAGGTGATGAAGGTATATTGCTGCATAAGTAAGGGAAGTTGACGATAGAAAAGTTAAAGTCATCACGTTTATCATATAGCTTGGTTGTTAGATTACCGTTAGTGTCTTTATCAAGTAAAAAATCCAAGTATGAAAAAGAAGTGTCGGACTCCGTGGTATCCTTTATCTCAAGCTCACCAGGATATATCGTATCGACGTAGGAATGGAAATTACCATTATTAATTGAAAATACGTCGTCGATATATCTTAATGTCGAGTTGAAGGCCACACCAAGTGTTTTCTTCTTTTCACACATAAGACTTTGTATAAATTCTGCGTCATATGAATATAAATATGTCTGCTAATAACGGAGCGCAATTCGTACCCATGGGAATTCCAATATTGGAATACCTGGTCTCCAAAAACCACATAAATGTTGTCAATCCGAAACTCGAGCATCTTCTTGATGTCAACTTCAGAGTACTTATGTGAGCAATCAGAATCTGTGTTAAAAAAATAATTTTACAAATGACCAATGACGAGATAATTAAACTTAATTACGAGTTCCATTTTTATTGAAGAAGCAGCTGTCAATGATATCAAAAAGCCTGGATTTTAATTTGTCGCGGGGAATTGTTGTGTATAAAGTTGAAAAGTCGTAAGTTACTATATTTACGTCACCTGTAATAACGTGTCGAGCAGAACTATAGTTAAAGGGCGAAGAAGAACATAAATACGAAGAAGGATTATGTTTCATTATTATGTTGAATTTAAAAGTTGAATTTTGCTAGAATCAATTTTCTTTCCCTGGTTTTTATTACATTTAAAGTTAATTCCGTCAGTAATTCTAGTGAAGTTTCTGATGAAATCAAATTACAATTTTTTTTTATTTCAATGTTAGGCATATATATCCTTCAAGACACTCACATACTTTGTTAAAGGTTGTTTTTTTTTATTTTCACGTCATAATTTAACCGATTTCTATTTGGTTCATTAAAAAAACTATTTATTATAGGAACTTTGTAAACAAAGACATTGCATTGTGGGATATTCCACTAATAATAAATCTTTAATGAATTCTTACATATTAAATGATTCAATGACTAATAAGATTCTAATAAAGGTTTTGTACAACACACTTTAATGACTTTATTAACTAATATATCATTAAGAATTTAATGAATCGTTAGGCTGAATGATCCATTAAATTTTATGAACCATTGATACAACCAGGTCCTGGTCACGCTAGAGAAACACTGACATCTTACAAACGAACGTTACCTAATACGGGGATCAGTCATTGTAGTCTATTCACGGTTGGATTATTGAATTCTTCAATTATATTGGGATTTCGATAGATAAATTCCCACAAGACACCTCAAAGCCACGTCTTGTCGTAGTTACGAAATCGCATCATCTCGAGTCTTTCCGTCAGGGGTCGGAAAAACAACCTTGAATGTATTAACATCACCGGATGTTAAAAATTTATACATCTTCCTGTTTATTCAAATATAGTTTATGCCTAGATCACATGTCCCGGCCGGTAGCCGTAGACCGGTGGTAATCGGTGATAATCCGATGCCCGATCCGATCCGATGCCCCAACATCGGTCCACATCGGCCTAGTAGTCCTTAATGTATCAGTCACATTATCCAGCGATGTGTATACGATGGGCAACAAATGCGTTTTATGATAAAAATGGCGTGGTTGCCGGCCGGACTTACAAAGGCCAAGCGATGCATTGCTAATCATAAAACGATGTTCCAGGATAATCGGCCGATGTATATTACTTATCTCATACGTTGGTGAACATCGTTCGAACATCGGTCGACTACGGGCCAATGTTTGGTCGAACATCGACCGATGATCGGCTGTTATCTGTTGAACACCACTTAACCCCCCCCCCCCCCGATGACCTCAGATTCAACGGATATTGGACGCTGCTCGGTCATACATCGGCCGATCCGCGAAATATGTGTTAATGGTGGGTTGCCGATGAGGGGCATCGTTGGAGACATCGCTGATTTTTAACTACGAATTATTTCCTACCGATGACCCCACCGATTCGCAAAATGGCCTTGGTCACCGTCCGATGACTAACGGTGTCCGGGCGGCAACCACGCCATTTTCATCAAAAAACGCATCGGTTTCTCATCGTATACCCCATCGCTGGATAATGTGACTGATACTTTAGACGGAGATAAAATTTCCTTCTTCAGATATTTTAGGTAATATCATTACATTGAATAAAGTGATATTTTAATAAATTTAAACAAGAATCTCTCTCTCTCTCTCTCTCTCTCTCTCTAGATCTCAATACAAGACACTATATAGAGCGCATTACCTATTTACTTGATTGCACGGATTCATTTTTTTCAAACTGTAAAAAGTAACCTTTCCCGATTAAAGAGAAACACCGACAGGAACGAACGTAACTCGCCCTACCTTCCCGTATCTCGATAGTTTTCTCGGGACCAGTGATTGCACCCATATAAATTCGGAAGAAATAAGTATATGTGTAAGATAGAACGGATAGGGTTTTAGCCACTTTGCAATTGAAAATTGCTCATGTCAAATGTATTGTTATCATTTACAATGTTTTAAAAAAGCGATCAAATAGAAGAAAATAAAAGTACACCATAATACTTTAGACGGATTAGGAAACACGTTTGTCATGCGTCAGTGATTAACGTTTACAAAATACTCGTAGTGTGCGCCTTGTTCATATGGGGAAAGCTTACTTTTTACAGTTTGAAAAAATAATAAATCCGTGCAATCAAGTAAATAGGCAGAGCGCTTTATGAAATGTCTTGTATTTAGATAGAGATATATATATATTTTTTTTTTTTTAATTAAAATATCACTTCAAAGAAATAAACTAGCATTCATGGTAGACAGTATCTTCTTAGATGATGTATTAAATGGCGATCTTAACTAAATTATCTTGGGCTGCTTTTATTTTATAAATGTAACAGGCATGAAGCAAGCAATTTCAATTGGGGGGAGGGGGCACAAGAAAATAATTTTAGTTTAGAGTCACTACCAAACAATTCCTTGGGAAGCCAAGATGAAAGATATTTTTTTAATGAGGGGGCACAAATATACAGCAGCTAAGTTTTTTTTTTAAATATTACATTGTTTTTTTTATCGACTTCATAAGGGGGAGGGGGGCTTATCCCTAACCCCTCAACCCCGTTTCTATATGCGAACGTGTATATCCGTTTATATATGTGTACATAGAATTCACTTTTAATTAAAAAAAAATCATGCTCGTAGTATCTTAATCACCTCTAACTTTTTAACTGTAGGTATCAATTTTGTATGCTGTAAATTGTAAATGTTATTAATGAAATAAAGCCAAAAAATATCTTTGGACTCGGATTTTTATATATTCCAGGGGTTGGGGAGGGGGTGGGGTGCTTAGGTCCTATAATGACATGCTGATATGGAACTGGTTCTCATATATCTTAAATTATGTCAAAAACACAATTTACTAAACTTCCATTTTTGGGCCTTGAAAGATAGGGATATTACTTTCGGTCTGCCCGCTCCTCTTATAATTCTGTCCGCCTGTTACACATTTGTTTCAAGCAATATCTCAAGAAGTCTTTGAGCTTTTACAGTGAAATCAAAAAATAGCTTTGAGTCTGGGATGTTAAGGGCGGTCCTGTCCACTAGCACCCGCGCAAGGTTTTGGGTTTTTGAAATTTAGTTTAGAATATTAACTCCTTATTATCCCGACCGACCTTCGTAAAGTACCCCCCCCCTTTTCGACCCCTTCTAGATCCGCACATACTATTATTTTTTTAATTTATGCCACAGAATGACATTTTTTAAATTTTCCTTTCATTTCCCTTCTCGAATCCTATTGCTCGTTTAAATGTCCGTGGAAATGTATAGTAGCGTTACGGTATACGTAGCGACAACGACAAGACGTGGCTTCGAGGTATCTTGTGGGGATTTTATTAATCGAAATCCCAATATAATTGAAGAATTCAATAACGCAACCGTGAATACAATAGACTACAATGACTGATCCCCATTTTTTGGTTACGTTAATTCGTAAGATGTCGGTGTTTCTCTATAAACAAGGCGCAC